CGTTACCGATGCTGAAATTAAACGAGAGGCTTGCATAACATAAGAATGATTTATTAAGCAAAATACACACAACCTCGCCATCCACTATTCGCAGGGAACAGGTTTAAGTAGTGGACGTGCAGCCTTGCAGAAACCTGTTCAGTCGACCTCTCTGAATCTTATCGTTCCTTTTTGTTTTTCGACCTCAAGCCGGACTCAATGCTGTTTAACCAAAGGGCTGATAAAGATTGCATGTTCAATGCAAAAACAGTTTTCATAGGATCAAAAAGCAGCAACTTTAAAAAAGGAAAACCACGAAAGAGGAAGAACTGTCACCACGCCATTGCGGGAAGTGTAAAATTCGGCATTTAACATTGCCGCCTTTTCGAAAAGACTATCGTTTATCTCTGATAATTGATTCTCTGCAACTACGACTCTCTATGCCTAGATGTCCTTTCTCACAGAGTGTCTCAGCTAACGTACATATTGGGAAGCAGGCACATGCTAATACACATACGTACAAATATATACACAAACACACACATACACTACACGGCTTTCTAAGTCCGCACCAGCACTACCAGTACGATCATACTGTTTCATGAAGCAATAAAACAGTTCACAATAAAGACATCTACTGTTTTACCGTCTGATATGTGCATTCATGTTTGTTGGACATCCTTATTAGTCTTTTCTTCCATGTCAGACGAAAAAGCATCGTCTAAAATGGTGGCACTAAACTGTGCACTTCTTTGAAAAATTAGCTTCCAACCGTAAAGGCGATGCCCTCGCTTGCCTCCCTACCCCCAACCAAAATGATAAAATACAAAAATCATTGGCGACACGCACCGAGCGGGCCCGTGCAATCATGCGTTTTTGCAGTGTTTCGTGCTGTAATGAGATCGCTCGAAAACCTGGTAGCTAGGATTTGCGACATACTGGTCCTCGAAGTTAGGGAATTTAACTGTCTATGCGCTACTTTAACAGGAAACATTCCGCTAAAATTTCAGCTTTCCAACTTTTCCCCTTCTAGAGTAAGCAATTTTCCTGCCAAAAAATTTCATGGGTTCGTACATGAGAACCACACGTATCTGGGAGCTGAATTTGATATCTTTAACTTTTACGGGGGCTGGGAACATACCCTTAAAATTTCAGCTCCCAGCTTTCCTACTTCCCAAGTGAGGCGTTTTTCCGTCAAAAAATTTTACGGGGCCGTACGAGAGAACCACGAATGCCTGAAGACTGAATCTGATAAATTTTTGTTGTTCATGCGCAGGGAACATTTCCTAAAAATTTCAGTCTCCTAGCTTTACAGGTTTCCGAGCTAGCCACTTTCCTGCTAAAAAAATTTCACGGGGCGTACGTGAGAACTACGCATGCCTGGGAGGTGAATTCGATAATATTAAGTTGTACATGTGTTGGGAACATTCTCTGAAAATTTCAGCCTCCCAACTTTCCTGGTCCTCAAGTTGGTGATTTTCGAGCCAGGAACCCTTACGGGACCATACGCGAGTGAAACGTACACCTGGGGGCTGAATTTGAAATCTTTGAGTTTCATATGGACGGGGGACATAACTTCAAATTTCAGCTTTCTAGCTTTTTTGGTTCCTGAGTTAGCGATTTTCCCGCCAAAACTTTGACCCCCTTGTACGCGCGGCCCAGACTTGCATGAAGGTTGATACCGCGGTTCTGGGGTGACACTTGGCTAGGAAACCCACCGGCAAATTATTGGCGCCGGAGCTTGCTTGGGTGCCGAGCTGATATACCCGGACGGACGCGCACAAACACACACACACACACATATACACAAACACACATACACACACACAGGGACAGAGTCGTCGCAATATACGATTTTGCAATTGCATATATGCAAAAACGCATAATAAAAATCATTGGCGACGCGAACTGGGCGAGCCCGTGCGATCATGCGTTTTTGCAGTGCTTCTTGCTGTAACAAGATCACTCGAAATTCCGCTAGCTAGAAACCTCTTGTACATACTGGTCCTCGAATTTCGGGAAGTTAATTATCCACGCTACGCTTGGACAGGGAACATCCCCTTGAAATCCCAGGTTTCCAGCTCCCTCAGTTCCCGAGTTACTCAAATTCCAGCCAGAAAATTTCACGGGGCCTTACGTAGCACCACTCATAACGAGAGGGGGGGGGGGGGGGGGGGGG